AAAAAAAAATCATCATAATCAATTATAAGCCTCTGTAAATTAGTATACAACACATGCCATTTTTTAGTTTATCTGTGCTTCTATTGGGATTGCGCACCTAAATAGAGCAAAATCAGTATTAAAATTATTTTCGTAAGTGTTGCGCTTGAGGCTTAGGATGACATCATTTTGATCAATTCTCTATCTTTAGTTTCTGTTGGAATTGGCCACCGTGTGTGTGTGTGTCTGTGGTGTGCATCGCCACCTGTTTGTCCACCAGCAAGTTATTTTGTTTTCAAAATGGCTGCCTGGCTGATATGTTACTTCAATTTAATTCAAAATGCATTCTTCAATATACAGGTAACCAGATTTTGGTCAAGTATAGATTTTTTGTTCCAACTTAGTCCAATATGAACCCTGATGCATGAATGTCTGTTTTTTAATTGGATTCAATATTGCCGACTGGTGGTAATTTTTTTTATCGCATACAATTTTGGAGCTTTACCTCTGACATTGTTTGAGTGTTCTTGTTCAAACTTCATGTAGCAGTTATTACTTTGCCATATATTCGACACATGTAAACAGATTTCATTCTTAGCTAAATGAGCTTATTTTCTATCAAATAATTGTTTATTTGTATCATGCAATTTTTGTTTTGAGTTTATTTGTTTGCTGGCAGTTTTTTAAAAATTTTAGTGATCATAAAACCCCACAATAATCTGACACAGTATCCATAGAAATACCCTTTAAATCTCGTTTGGGCTAAAGCCAATCACAACTGATCAATTTGTACATGCTTGTGCTGAGGACATTTTAAGAATTTCCATATGTGATACAGCTGCCGACTGTTGTTCTAATTGCGGCAGACAATTTATTTTTAATTTATCTGATGTGTTCTTGATCATAATTTCTTGTAAGTTGAGCAAAACACTGCTAGACATGAATTATTTCGTCATTGGTCGATGATTTGAATCGGTCAGTTGACGAAGCCCTATTTAGCATGCACAGAAAATACTCATACAAAGAACAAAAATAACAGTATTCTCGTCATCAAAAGGGTTATATTTCAATAAGTCACTTCATCGCCACAGTGAAAATAGCACCGTTGATCATGTGTAACTGAGCAACGAGAAAGAGTCATACTTTTTGTCTGGTGACAGTTCTTACTGTTTGTATTGTACAACTCAATAAATAACTTGCTTATTAAGGTAGAGATGCAGGTTGTAGAGCACTTGGGAGTGATTTTTTTATTTTTTGCTTTTTATTATTCAAACAGTCTTGGCTATAGACTGTTAAAATTGTGTGCAATTGTGAATAGTGGAACATACTCAAAAAACGATTTTAAAATATAGATAACAGGTGCAATCATTCTCTTTTTTGAATGCTTAGCAAGATTTAGCAAGGCTGTACATAAATAATAAAAAAGAAACATGGTGAAAAAAAGAAATGACGGGATCTCCATATTATGCACTATATTTAACTTTTAACAAAACGATAATACATTTAAATTTGGAACTGTTACAGCCATTTTAATTATGAGCATTAGCAAACTTCTTAATGAGTGAATTGTTATGAAAATTAGCAATTATCTCAGGTTCTTTTTAGTGCACATCCCAGAATTTAAAAAAAATAGCTCCTAGACGCTTTGACTTTTTGTTTTGAAATTTTCACAAATGATTGACAATGTGTTTATCTTCAAAACGCCGTCGGGGCATTATTTTTGGTAGAACAGTGTTACAACAATCGTACAGACAACTAGTCTGGGTGTTAATTTATGCATAAACTTGAATTAGTGAAATTTGAGCTGCCGCCCTGCAAAATTGACAACTGGTAGACAGTTTTCAAGACGGCATTTTCTTCATAGTAAACAGATGTACCCATAAACCAATTTTGACAGGAAACAGAAGCATGGTTTAGAAGCTAATTTTTTTTAAATCACTTTTGACCAAAAAAGCACATTTTTGTGCATATTTCAAACTAGTGTTCATAACAATAAAATACTAACAAAATGTTAAAATTCATACAATAAGCTTTCCAAAAATATATAGTTTTGTGGACAAAGTTTCCTAATTAGCTAATTAAAATACCTGTCAGGTAAACTGCATCTCTACCTTAAAATGAGAGTCCAGATCATTTTACTGGTGTTCGGACGAACCCGTGGACAAATTCTCGTCACTACTCAAAACAATTGTAAAACTCATAATTTGATATTTGTTGCCTTTAACAATATTAAATGTAGATCAAATATGCCCTATTT